ATGGTGATAACAAAGTTCTGGGTCAGGTCGATTAAAAATGTAATTTAAAAAAAAATGTTGCAAGTGGGAGCCTGCACCTTAACATCTTTACATTTCCAAAACACTATTTGTCATATTTGCATACATAAGGTTGAGAAATGGTAAAAGAAAATATGGGAAAATTAAAACCCATTTTGTCCCTATTCTCAAGAATCACTGAGTCACTGTTTGTTGTCATTATTAACTTGTCGATTAATAATTTTACTGTATTTTAAATATCTTCCCATTGATGTATTTTGAGAATAAGAATAAAAAGATTCCTATCGTTTCAGGAGGCCCTAAAACTCCATACAGCTGAGTCATCTGAAGAGCTGCTCCCTGACCCTGAGCTGACCCCTGACCCCAAACCTGATGAAGAGGCGGACGACAGCAGCAGCAGCAGCAGGGGTATCACAACAAGCATCATTCTTTATCAAACCATCCGAGTTTGATTAACAATGTTTTCATCTAGTGAAGTTGAGGTTGTGTACCAGATTCTGGTTATCAGATGTTGGTCAGCTTTGGGGTCTGGGGGTGTACAGGGGGAGATGATGATGAATTCAGGTCTGACATGAACCTTCACAATTTCAACAGAGAGTCTGGAGGAGACAATCGCGGTTCATGAGGAAACTCTTCTTCGAGACTTAAAGCTTATGAAACACAGGCAGGTCATCCACCCTGTGCTGCAGGAAGGTATGCATTACTGCCTTCTAGGGTTGCACCGATAAATATGCCGGTCCATAAATCTGCCCATGATTTCCTGCATTTTATGTGATCGAGGTTTTAGGTGTGAAACTGATCTTATTTATCTGCGCTAAGATCTGAAGATCAGCCACTGTCCTCTTTTGCTCTGGCATGAGACTGACAGACCCGCCCATTAGGTCACATCTACGGTTAATAACAGTCATCACAATGTTGCTAACTCATTAATTTTGTCGCTATATTTGGCAACATTTCAGACAAAACAAATAAACAAACAAAAAAAAAAAAACGGTATTGGCCAAAATCAGAATCAACAGGTCAAAAAAATATATAAAAAATTAAAATCATTGTTCGGCCAGAAAACTACAATCCGTGCACCCCTACTGGATTCCAGTGAGTTGACTTAAAGCTGTCATTGACTCTAAGATAATGCTTCATGTCTGGTGATGTTTGTGGCCTCAGTTGGTCTTAAGATGACCCTCCTGGATCCGGCGCTGTCCATTGACCTGCAGTACCTGGGAGTCTCTCTTCCCATCCCCCTTCCTGGAGTCGTTACGGAGCCACTGACCCAGACGACCCCAACCTCTCAGGGTAGGCATCCTCACAGACTTGGTGCTTTTATTCTGAAAGAGTTTCTGTGTTTTGAGACAAACAGAACTAACAATAAAATGTTTAGAAATAAATCTTAACATGGTAAAGTGCCACTGATCCAGAATCTAATTACCTTTTTTTTCTTATTATTCTTTTGTCTTTAGGGGTTTTTGCTTCATTTCAGTCCAGAACTGGAAAAACTACAGATCTGACCCAGATTAAAGGCTGGAAAGAGAAGTTTACCTCGTCAGAGGTCGAATCAGCCTCTGCTCCAAAACCTGAAGGTGCTTCTCATCATGTCCTCAGCTTTAGTCAATACAGCACAGTGCAGAAGTGTCCATAACTCTGGAACCTCTCCATGTGTATAACTACAAACAGATGCATTTTCTGAGGATTTTATGTGTCAGACACACAGACTAATGCATAAGTTGTCAAGTAGAGAAACAACATACGTTTTCTTTAGTTTTTTTTTTTTTTTTACAAACATGCTGTCCATTTGAAAAGTATTCAAAACGATTCACTTTTTTCAGATTCTATGATATGTTACAGCGTCATTCCAAATTGTTTCAACATCTTAGCTGTCATGAGGACTCTGGTCTCCTCATGGACCCGTCGTCTAACATGTGAGCGGCAGTCAAAGCTTTACACACCTGAAACTGCTGCTCAAGTTATTCAGGTTGTTGCTAGGTAACCAAAGAGTGAGTGAGTTAAGTTGATGTCACCCATCTTGCATAGCTGACCCTGAGAGGCTGATTGGCTAAAGCTCTGCCTTCATCTCCCAGAAGGCTGTGTGGTTCTGGATCAGAGTTCAGTGAAATTATTGAATATTCTATTCTATATTAATTGATATATATCACTGAATATATATGAATATATATATATATATATATTTTTTTTTTTTTATTTTTTTTTTTTATTATGTATATATCAACATAATATGTCAGGATATTGAACATAATATCCTGATATAATGAGCTGAAGTTTGTAGTTTTTGCAAAAAAATAAAAGAACACTTATATTTTACACATCTCTTAATTGATTTTGAGGAAATAAACATGCCGACCCATTTACGTACACATAAATTTGTGCTCAGACAAGAAACAGACACAAGGGAGGGAAAAAGAAAACAACACACCAACAGTACCAATCACCAGTTTGCCTTCCCACATGTTGAATCGGATATCATTATGAACACTTTTGCTTTCAACCCTCCTTAAATGTCTCACTCTGTATCCTGCAGCTGGCCCCAGTGCCGACCTGCCAAAGAAGAACCTGTCTGCGTTCTGCAGCGACATGCTGGACGAGTATCTGGAATCGGAGGGGAAGCTGATCGACGAGCGCGCCTCCAGTTTCTCCCAGCCACCAGCGGAGGCGCCGTCCTACCGGCTCCCTGTGAGCAGCACCAGCTATGTCCGGACTCTGGACCACATCCTGAAGAAGCCCTCAGCCGGCTCGCCAGCCTCGGACATCATATCCGGGTTCATCCCGCCTTCGAAGAGATCACGACTCAAAGAGAGCGCGGCCTGCCGGAGGGCAGAGAGGAAACCCAGAGGTCCCAAACCGAACAGAATCAAAGCTGCTTGTACTGCTTCGGACTTTCCAACAGCTGTACAGTTGCAGTACTCCGTGCCCGGTTCTCTGACCTCAGAACCTCTGAATGGACCTGCTTTTACAAAGAGGAGGAGGCTGAAACCCAGAGCGTCCTCTCAGACCCTCAGTGTGTCCACGGCCCTCAACGTGTCTGAGGAGATGGCTCCGCTTGAGTCCGACTCTGAGCTCAAACCAGACTCTGTGAGGAAGCAGCCGTCTGATCACTCTGTGGATGGCCAGAGAAAGGAGAGCAGAGTCACAGTGACCCGGACCTACGCCAGGCTCAAGGAACTGGAGGACAGTGTGGTTCTGGAGGGCCGCTTCCAAACCAGCATCTCCACAGAGAGGGCCACCATCGCTCTGATGTCCCTCTTCACCCAAACTGTGAGTTCCATTTTGTTTACCAGGATGGGTCTGTGTCTCTGTTGTCTCCTTTTAAAGATTAGACCTGCAGCATTCAATATGTCAGAGAAACTAATGAAGGCTCTCTCAGTTCCAACTTCAAGAGTTAAAACTGGAGTATGTAACTTTTATAAAAAATATGTTTGTTTTTTTTACCCGTTTGTTAAAACTGTCACTATGTCATGACAGTTTGGTATGGGACAGGTGGCCAAGGTGACTAGCATTAGCATCCACAACAAGCTCTGCTAATGGGAAGAAGCTGTAGCATAGCAGAGAGTAAGGGGGTGTGATCGGTCCGCCACTCAGCTCCTTCAGACTAGCCAGCAGCAGTTAGCAAACATGTGATGGACCAGCGCATTAGCTGAGTTCATTATAGGAGCTACTTCTTAGAGTAATATTGATGAAAATATTGATGAAGGGTTAATAGAGGAGCCATGTTGTGATGACTTCCTGAAAGTGGAGTTTCAGAAAGAACAGGAGTTTCTTAAATAGACAGAGGCCCAATTTCAAGGTGTAAAATTACAAAGTCAAATTTCTTTCAAGTTCTACTTGATACATACAGCGTATTTATAACTACTGAAGGTGACATAGTTATTTGATAGTGCTATAAAATGATACAATGTGGGTAGAAAACGCATAATACTGCCCCTTTTAAATGAACATTCTCTACTTCCTTTAATGTGCTTGACCTCAAATCATGTATAATTTTGTTTATCTAATTAGAAATTAAATGAGGCAGGAAAGGGTTAAAACATGGAATACATTGACTAGAGGGACCAACACATTCCAAGTGAGAGTTCATAAACATCCTTGTATGAAATCTTTCTGATCTGTTCTGTAAATTGTGTATCAGTCATAAAAAAAAGTATGCTTCTAGCTGCAGCATAAGGTACCAACCTGTCGGCCCTGCTGACTGTTTTCCACTCCCCACTCAGGGTTTTGTGAGAGAAAACCCGACGTCGCCGATCAAGCTAAGGCAGAGACAAGCTGTGGCCTGTCTGAACGAGTTCTGCAGGCTGGGATGCGTCTGCTCCAGTTTGTCTCACTGTTCCAGGATCAGCCACTGTGGCCGGCCGCTCTGCATGTTCGGCTGCAGCTGCCTTAAGCAGAAGATGGTTCTGCTCAAGAACCTGGATAGCTCTGACGCCAGCCCCTCCCCCCTGCAATGCAAACTCAAGAAGAAGAGGAGAAGGATGATGAAGATGGCCTATGGTACATTTTTAAATTCTGCCTTCATTGTTTAACCAGAACAAATTATTTTAAGTAGAAGCAGCTTGTTGTTGAAAAGGTGTAAGCGCACTCCATCCAACCTGTTGAATTTGCAGTCCTGAAAGAGGCAGAGACCGTGGCCCACCCTGCGGAGCGGGTCCGGACCCTGTGGAGGAAGGACGCCGACTCCTCTGATCCAGAGCCAGTCCATGCGCCGGATGTGGCCCCCTTCCTCCAGCCACCTGTAATTATTGTTTACAGCATTGATACCGGCACAATGCGAGTAAAGGGGGAAGATATGGGCTGAAGTGAATGCTGTGATTTTTATTTTTTTTAAAGTCTGTCCAGGTGAGAAGGAAATATCGCAGCAGCTGTGCCAGAGTTCGAAGTTACATCAGGAAGACGCAGAAACAGAAGGTAATGATGCTCAGATCAGTGGTGGGGACCACCAGCCCTAAAGCACTCATCATAAACATTTGTTCTTCTAATGCTTAAGAGCGACACCAACATTGGATTTGGAGGAAGCAAATGGCAAATTTAATCATGTTGACACCCAACATGTGTTGGAACAAAGTATATCACTCTCATCAGGATCAAATTTGTCATTCCACACCTACCTTAACGGTTTGTGCTTCAGGAAGTGATTCTATAGAACAGACCTTTCACTCATGGTTTTGATTGAGTTTTGCTAACTCTTGACCTCGTTAGGGCTTTGGTCAGAAAAGACTTACCTGTTAAGTGTCATTCTACAGCAATGCATTGTGAGTAGACACTAGACATAATTTTCTGCACCACATTGGGAGTGAAGAACATGAGGAGCATCTGTTTTGGAATTGTTTTTATACAATAGTATATGACTAACATTTTCCACCAAAAAGACAGATCCATATCTGAACTTCTCTTGACTCATTCCTGGACCATTTGACCTGTAGTCCAATATTTACCCAACAGGAGGAAGAATCCAAAGCACTGATATCATCCAAGGATAAAACTGCAGGACTGAAAGTCCACAAACATGGAGAACAAGGCCCTACACAGACTAATGTTACCACACCCAGACCTCCTTCTGGTAAGTTCATGACCAACCCATCACGGTGGATGTTTTCCCATCAGCTTTTAGTGCTAGTTGTATTTTCAGATTCATGTCCTGAGCGTAATGGAAAGCTTTTCTCGTTCTTCAGCAGCAGATGCAGACAAATCACCCAGCGCTAGTCCTCCAGGTTCTTCAGAAGCACTCTGTTCTAAACCATCCAAACGCCTCATGATCCTGGCCGACTGCAAGTGGGTGAACGACAGCGACCGCAGCTACGTGTTGAAGAAGCTATGTGAGGCGATGGCTCAGGATCAACTGGACAAACCTTTCTGGATCAAAAACTACCTCATCACTCCAATCGACGAGACGGTGGATGAAACTAGCGGAAACAGGTGCATCGAGTATAAGGTCCAGATCTCAACACCCATTCTGGACAGGAAAAAGGCACCAGCCAAAAAACCAGTGACTCGTGGAAAGAAACGAGGGATCAAACCAGCAGCTCAACACAGACAGGTGAAGAACAAGTTAAATGTTGGTCCACATCTGGAATGCTATTTCTAAGCAACAGAATCTTATGTCAACTTGAAGAAGATTGTAGAATGAATATTCATTCATTTATGAATGAATACATTCCTAAATGAATGAATTTATGAATTCATTCATTTATGAATGAATTCATAAATTCAGTCACAATGACTGTCAGTCATTGTGAAAGCTGTCATAATGACTGACAGTTTTCAGCATGACAAAAAAAAGTTTAACAATAACGATAAATGCCCAACTCTATTGTCCATCCCTTGTATGGTGGATACAACAAACAGGGACTTATGAGCCCAAACACATCATGTCAGTGTCAAGCAGAGTTGTGGAAGGGTAATGATGTGGGCTTGTTTGGCATCACAAAACCTTGGCACCTTACTGTCATTAAGTTGACCATAAACTTCTCTGTAAACCAAGGTATTTTAGAGTCAGACATGAAGCTATGTGTTCAGCAGTCCTTGTCCAAACTGAGTCAACGACTGGTCAGTGATCCCAAACTGGCAATGCAATGATCTAGTTTAAGTCCAGACCTCAGCCTTATTGAAAAGCTGTGCTCAGGCCTGATTCAGTGGCTTGTGTTGGGAGATACCACTGAATCATTTGGTAGACTCAGTTTTTCCCATGTAGGTATAATACGAAAATTAATTTCCAAATATTAAAATACTTTGTAATCATTATCATTGTCATCAATATTTCCAGCCATCTTAGCCACTTCTAGGACACGTCAACGTCCATGCAGAGATGGAAAGGGTTGTATTTTTATATTAAGAGAAACTGAATTTTCCAGTTTGTAGCTTCAAACTGTATGCCGCTCAGAAGTGACTGTTCATCCATTTTGTAGTGTTGCTGGTGACATGTTATGCGTCTTTTTTTTTCACTGAAGTTTAAGTTAAATGGAATCGTTTGATTTTCTTGTTATAATGTATCCTTGACCTTACCCAACATGTTTTGTCTTTTAGGACAACCGCTCTGGTTTGATTTCAAAAAATGAGAAGGCTCCTAAACGCTCGAAGAATATGATGAATCAGTCTTTCACAGACTCTGTGTCGGTAGAGTCTGTGGAAGACTGGCAGAAGGAGGTGATGGAGGAGGAGCCCATGGAGGAATGGCAGAAGGAAGTGATGAAAGAGGAGGAGGAAGAGCTCATGGAGGACTGCCAGATGGAAGTGATGGTGAAGGACAAGCCCATGGAAGACTGGCAGAAGAAGGTAAAGGTGAAAATGGATCCTTTGGAGCAATGCCAGAAAGAGGTGATGGAGAAGACAGAGCTTATGAAGGACTGGCAGAAGAAGTTAAAGGTGGAAGTGGAGGCTATGGAAGACTTTCAGAAAGAGGTGACACCTACGAAGAACCATCTAAACGAGGTGGAGACCATAAAGGGGTTCCAAAAAGAGGCGGAGTCTACAAAGGACTTCCAAAAGAAGGCGGAGTCTACAAAGGACTTCCAAAAGAAGGCGGAGTCTACAAAGGACTTCCAAAAGAAGGCG